ACAAAACAGACTAAGAAAAAAGGTAATAATTTTTGTGTTGAATTCCTATTTTTATATGTATTGTTCATTCCTTTTGTAAAGTCAATGAAACTAAGATAAATGAGAATAGAAACCATCTAAAAGATACTGTGACTGAATCATGTCATTTTTTATAACACTGTTGCATTGTTCAAGTCAGGAAACCTATAATCTGGATACATATTTAAATGAGAACAGGCCAGGCCCCAGGGTATTCCTAGTAAATCATTGTATGTTTCATAATTGTTTTAATAGACTATTGAGTTCAATTTACTGATACTGTTTTGCCAATGTTTGCATGTATCTTAAGTAAAATTGGCCCACATTTTGCTTTTTAGGAGGTATTTATCCTCATCTAATTTTACATTGGGATAGTTGCCTTATAGAATGATCTAGTAAGATTTTGTTATGGGTTATATATTCTTTTTTTTTTTTTTTTTTTTTTGAGACGGAGTCTCGCTCAGTGCTCAGTCGCCCAGGCTGGAGTGCAGTGGCACAATCTCAGCTCACTGCAAGCTCCGCCTCCTGGGTTCACGCCACTCTCTTGCCTCAGCCTCCCCAGTAGCTGGGACTACAGGCGCCCGCCACTACGCCTGGCTAATTTTTTGTATTTTTAGTAGAGACGGGGTTTCACCGTGTTAGCCAGGATGGTCTCGATCTCCTGACCTCGTGATCCGCCCACTCGGCCTCCCAAAGTGGTGGGATTACAGGCATGAGCCACCATGCCAGGCCGGGTTATATATTTTTTAAAGCTTTTCACTGCCTGTAAATCTATAGATTCTAGTTTTTAAAAAACAAGATCATAACTGTATTTTTTCCCCTTTATTTATGGATTCGTTCAGGGTTTTTTTGGTATCTGCAGTCAACTGTAATCATTTCGATTTCTCTAGATTGCAACATATTGAAATATATGTATATAGTAATACAGAAACATTGAAATATATGTATAAATATATGTATATAGTAATACGTAACTTAATTTTTAAAAATCTCATTATGTAGCTATTTCACCTTTTCCATACATAAAGTTGAGTCATGTTTTTCCCTCAATAAATGCCAATTTTATATTAATGTTATTTTCAAAGAGAATATCCTTAGTCTATTATTTTATTAACTATTCCATTAATTTATTTGATCATATAAACAACTTGCCATTATTCACCTTAGTTTTAAAACATTTCTGGCTTAAGTTAATCCTTATTTTTTCCCATCACATTTATAAATTGCCTATTATGTGATAGGTACCATAGGTGTGTGAACAGAGTGGTGAACAAGACAAATACTTATTTCTCAATCCAGATTTTCTAAATGCATTGCTTTAAATTTTCTACCAAGTACAGCTTTGATTGGTGATTTCCCCCAAGTTATCTGTAGGCAACACGTGATCATTCATCACTAAACAGTCTACAATTTCAGACTTGATTTTCTTTTTTCTTTTTTGAGATGGAGTCTTGCTCTGTCACCAGGCTGGAGTGCAGTGGTGCAATCTCAGCTCACTGCAACCTCCACCTCCCAGGTTCAAGCGATTCTCCTGCCTCAGCCTCCCAAGTAGCTAGGACTACAGGCGCGCGCCACCATGTCCAGCTAATTTTTACTAGAGATGGAGTTTCACTATGTTGGCCAGGATGGTCTCGATTTCCTGACTTCAAATGATCCACCCACCTCGGCCTCCCAAAGTACTGCGATTACAGGCATGAGCCACCATGCCTGACCCAAACTTGATTTTCTACCTTAAAAAACTTTATGATGGAAATTTAAAATATATGTAAAGATAGTAAGAACAGCACAATGAACCCTGTGTACCAAATGACCCAGATTAAACATTTACCAACTTTTTGCTAATCTTGTTTCATGTTTCCCTCCCACCTTTTGTTTTTCTTAAGTATTTAAAAGTAAATCATAGGCATGACATTTCAGCCTCAAATACCTCAGTATGAATCTCTAACACTTAAGGACTCACACACATATACCCACAATGCCATAGTCATGCCTGACATATGAACAATAAATTACTTAGTATCATTTAGTAACCAATCCATGTTTACATTTGTACAATATCTAGAGACATTTTATTCCTTCAAATCTTGTATTGACTATGTTTTCTTTATTTTCTGTATTCTTGATGCTCTGGCCACTTGGGTCCTTAATCCTGGAGAGACTGCCCCTCCCAGGGCAAGCTAATGCACAGATGATAAATTCCACTTGCAATCATGCCTTTCATATACAGACCAACCAATCCAGAGCCCATACGCCCAACTATCTCCTTCATCAAACTCTCATACACCAATTCAATATTCCCCCGCCCTAACTAGACAACTAGGAATCACCCCTAGAGCCCAGAGACCAACAGAATTACTCAAACTATCCAATCCTAAGCTTACCAGTGTGCCTACCCCTGCCTTGTCCATTCCTTGCCATGAAAACCCCCAGTAAAAGCTCTGGGCCATGCTCTGCCCTCACCCCCTCTGCCTCCTGATACATCTGGGTACTTCCCTTTTTTTTTTTTTTTTTGAGATCGGTTTTTCATTTTGTTGCCCAGGCTGGAATGCAATGGCGCGATCTTAGTAGTGGCGTAGATCTTAGCAAGTTCTACCTCCCGGGTTCATGCCATTCTCCCGCCTCAGCCTCCCAAGTAGCTGGGACTACAGGCGCCCACCACCACGCCCAGCTAATTTTTTGTATTTTTAGTAGAGACGGGGTTTCACCGTGTTAGCCAGGATGGTCTCGATGATCTGACCTCATGATCCACCCGCCTAGGCCTCCCAAAGAGCTGGGATTACAGGCGTGAGCCCCCACGCCCGGCCTACACCCGGGTGCTTCTTTAGGTGACCTTGCATGCCATGCCACGCCTCCTGTTTCTGGGATCTGTGTATAAACTTCTTCCTTCATGACAATCATTTCCATGTCTGCCTGTCTCACCATGATTGATTAAAACAAATCCCAAGCGCAGCATTTTAACACAAGGATCCTAAAATGCTCCATACACTGTATTTGAAGGTACGTTTCTTAAATCTCCTTTAATGTGTAGGATTCCATTTTTGTCTTTTTTTTTTTTTTTTTGACATGTATTCGTTAAAAAAATAGGCCATTACTTCTGCAGATTTTCCCGAATTTTGCATTGGTTGTTTGTTTCTTTGCGTTGTTAATTTGTTCTTTTATTCCCCATGTTTCCTGTAAACTGGTAATTAGGTTTGGAGACTAACTTGTACTTCTCAGCTTTGGGGGGGTCAAGAAAACTTCACAGGCGTCCACAGTGTGCATCCATTTCATCATATCAAGTGCATCTGGCTGATCTCATTTAGATGTTAATACAGATTAGTGTCCTGACATTCTGCTCCACGTATTATAAGCTTCCTATCCATTTTTCACCTAATCGTCTTCATATCCATTGCTATCACCACGAAAATCCATGATTTTGCAAAATTAAAGAGTGTCATTTTCAAAGTCTATCATTCATTTGACCTTTTTTTTGTTTTTTGTTAGAGACGGAGTCTTGCTCTGTCGCCCAGGCTGGAGTGCAGCGGCGCGATCTCAGCTGGCTCACTACAAGCTCCGCCTCCCAGGTTCAGGCCATTCTCCTGCCTCAGCCTCCTAAGTAGCTGGGACTACAGGCGCCCACCACCACGCCCGGCTAATTTTTTGTATTTTTAGTAGAGACGGGGTTTCACCATATTAGCCGGGATGGTCTCCATTTCCTGACCTCGTGATCCGCCTGCCTCGGCCTCCCAAAGTGCTGAGATTACAGGCGTGAGCCACCGCGCCCGGCCTCCTTTGACCTTTTAACCAGTTGGAATTCTCTAATAATAATAAACTTTCCTTCACCAACTTTTGGTTGTCTCGAAATATAGTTCGTAAAGGATAGGCAAGGTAAATATTGTATTCTTTTCCTTTGTTAATAATGCTCTAGTATGCTCCATAACTCATCAATGCATTTGGTTCAGGAAAAAAAAAAAAAAAGCTGAAAGGTTGGAGTGCTCATGATAAAAGGACACAGGAGCCAATTTGAGGGGATTGCCATTGGCCAAATATAGGACAATTTAGCATTTAAAAAAACTACAATGAAGTAATTTTAAAAAAAATTAATGGAGCTTTATAATTAGGTGATTTTTTATTTCCAAAGTTTGTTATCCTTTGTCAATTTTTTTTTTTTTTTTTTTTTGAGACAGAGTCTCGCTCTGTCGCCCAGGCTGGAGTGCAATGGCGGGATCTCAGCTCACTGCAAGCTCCGCCTCCCGGGTTCACGCCATTCTCCGGCCTCAGCCTCCCGAGTAGCTGGGACTACAGGCGCCCGCCACCTCGCCCGGCTAGGTTTTTGTATTTCTTAATAGAGACGGGGTTTCACCGTGTTCGCCAGGATGGTCTCGATCTCCTGACCTCGTGATCCGCCCGTCTCGGCCTCCCAAAGTGCTGGGATTACAGGCTTGAGCCACCGCGCCCGGCCCCTTTGTCAATTTTTAATATTGACTGGGGCCAGAGAATGCTGATTGTAGTTTTTTGTTTTTTTTTTTTGGGGACAGGGTCTTGCTGTGTCACTCAAGCTTGAGTGCAGTGGTACAATCACAGCTCACTGAAGCCTCAACTCTTGGGTTCAAGTGATCCTCCCACCTCAGCCTCCCAAGTAGCTAGGACTACAGGCATGCACCACCATGCCCAGCTAATTTTTAAAGTTTTTTTGGTAGAGACAGGGTCTCATGATGTTGCCCAGACTAGTCTCGAACTTCTGGCCTCAAGCAATCCTCCTTACTTGGCCTCCCAAAGTGCTGGATTTACAGGCATGGGCCACCTCACCTGGTCTAGGATATCTGTTTTTTAATGAACAAATTGGAAAGGAATTCCTTACTTTCAATATTTTAATGAGAATATCTCAAGTTCAATGAAGGATAAATGTTGGTGGAAGGCATTTCTATATTCATTATGCCCATAGCCTTTAGTATGATTTATCTAAAAAGAAATATTAAATATGATAATAAAAGAAAGTTTACTGGCTTAAAATGACAACCATTTTATTATATCTCATGTTTTTGTGGGTCAGAAATTTGGGCAGGGGCTCAGCTGGTCAATTCTTTCATTCTACGTGGCATCAGTTGATGTTACCAAGTCACTCAGTGGCATTTAGCTGGTGGCTGGTCTGGTGGATCCAAAATTTCACTCAAATGTCTGGTATCTTGGCGGATGTCAAGAAGACAGGGTTCAGCAGGTGCCTCTCCCTCTCTACGTAGTTTCAGGGCCTCTTCAGGTGGTCTCTTCAGCACAGTAGCCAGACTCTGTAACATGACAGTTCTCTCATTTCATGAGATGAAGTAACTCTACCAGTAAAGTCTGAGTCAAGAAACCAGCACAGCAGTACATCTACCATATTCTACGGGGCAAAGCAGTCACAGAGTCTGCCTATATACAACAGAGGGATGTAAATTCCACCTTTTGATTGAAAGAGTGTCAAATTGCTGCACTCTTACATGACCATTTCATAAATAAAAAAATTAAAGCACAGAGCAGTTAAGTTTCTTGTCTAGTATGACACAAAGTGATGGGATAGGGATGATGGTAAGTATCTTTCTCATTCTTATAACAGGATTAGTTTTTAGAACAAATGTGCTGAAGTTTCAGGTTTGAGTGATGATGGAATACAATACATTATCACACTCTTTTAATGGTATAAAATCTCTAATGCCAAGTCAGTTGAATGTATGGAGCAAAAGAGATTAATTACTACATTCATAGAATGTTCAATTACACAGAAGTTGAAAAGACTTTCTTAGATTTTTACATTATGAATTTTCAGATGATGAGTAAGGTGTGAATGTTGCCTAAAGGCCTTCTTACATTCCTTGCATTCATAGGGTTTCTCACCAGAATGAATTCTCAGATGTTGAATAAGGGATGAATTAAGCCTAAAGGCCTTCCTACATTCCTTACACTCAAAGGGTTTTTCACCAGTATGAATGCTCTGATGTAGAGTAAGTTTTTGGCGCAATCTAAAGGCCTTGCCACATTCCTTACATTTATAGGGTTTCTCACCAATATGAATACTCTGATGCTGTGTGAGTTGTGAAAGTAGTCTAAAGGCCTTCCCGCATTCCTTACAGTCATAGGGCTTAACACCAATATGAATACTCTGATGTGAAATAAGTTGTGAGTAGCGACTAAAGGCTTTCCAGCATTCCTTACATTCATAAGGTTTTTCACCAGTATGAATTCTGTGATGCAGAATAAGATGATAACCACGGCTGAAGGTCTTCCCACATTCCTTACATTCATAGGGCTTCTCACCAGTGTGAATTCTCTGATGCAGTGTTAGTTGTTGCCGCACTCTAAAGGCCTTTCCGCATTCCTTACATTCATAGGGTTTCTCACCAGTATGAAGTTTGTGATGTACTCTAAGACCAGAGCCACACAAAAAGGCCTTCCCACATTCTTTGCACTCATAGAGCCTGTCAGCACTATTAAGCTTCTGATGCCGAGTCAGGTGTGCGTACTGTCTAAAGGCCTTTCCACACTCTTTACACACATAGGGTTTCTCACCAGTATGAATCCTCTGATGCAGAGTAAGTTGTCCTCGTACCCTAAAAGCCTTCCCACATTCTTTACATTCATAGGGCTTCTCACCAATATGCATTTTCTGATGTACTCTAAGATCTGCACCACATATGAAAGCTTCCCCACATTCCTTACATTCATAGAGTTTTTCACCAGAATGAAGTCTCTGATGTCGAGTAAGGTGTGCAGTCTGTCTGAAGGCCATCCCACACTCCTTACATTCATAGGGTTTTTCACCAGTATGAATTCTGTGATGAAAAGTAAGCTGTTGGCGCACTCTGAACGCCTTCCCACATTCCTTACATTCATAGGGTTTATCGACAAAATGAAGTCTCTGATGTGAAGTAACAGATGTGCGTTTCTGGTAAGAGGACACCTTTTCAGATGGCATTTTCACACTACTGAAGTATCTTTCTTGAGGTCTCTCCTGTCCTTCCATTTTTCCTGTGGATTCCCAATTGTGTTTTAAAATGAGACCCTTAAGGCCATGGTTTTTAATTCTTTCCATTATCTTCCACGGGGATAAATTTATTTCATAAATGTCATTTTCTAAAGATAACTTCTTGGTTTCATACTTGGTCTCCCAATCTAAAATGAAACAAGAAAGCAAACACATGCTGTTTTCTTTTACTAAAAGAAGCAACATTTCTAATGTAGAAATAAAAGACAACAAAAGTAATCCTCAACCAAACTCTAAAATTGGTTATACAATTTGGAAAGAAAAAAAAAAGCCAAAGGGAACATCAGGAAAAATGAGAGTTCATACAAAATAGCAAGATTGGTGATTAAGTAAACATTTTAAGTCAGTGGTTCTCATATTGAGGTGTGTGGATCAGAATCACCACGTAGCTTGTTACTAACACTGAGGTTTAGACACCACCCAAACCACCTGGATCAGACTCTGAAGTCCTGGAAGGATATTTAATATTCTCTACTTATTCTATTACTCATAATTCTGATGAAGATGAGAGGCTGAGAATCTATACTTACATTTTTTTTCATCTTTTGTCATTCTTAGACTCCAGTCAAGCTCACTGTGGTTAAGAAGGCTTACCTACATCATATGATTTCAAACCAGTATCCTCTTTACTGCTCCCTGGAGAAGTCTCCTTGCAGACCTCCCATGTCCTAACTTACTTCCATCTCTTAGGACTCTTCACAGTCTGTTCCATCTCCCACAAATCTCCTGACTGGGCTCTTTGCATGGCTGGCTCCTTTCATCCTGAGATCTCAGAGTAAAAGTCATTTCCTTTAAGGTTGACCCTATTGATAGTACCTAAATCCATGTTGCTATTCTCTATTCCTTGCCTTTATAATAGCTCTCAATTTAAAAATTATATATTTATTAACTTCTCCAATTGTCATACTGTTTATTCTTACCTATAAACCTCCTCAAGGACAGAAACAATCCCTAGTTAACTCTACATTAAGTAATAAATGCTAAGCATATAATAGGTTTTACTCATTAATTCCCATAGCTATATACTTGTTCTAAATGTATCTCTCTGCCTCTAGTCTCTCATGCCTTACTACAATGATTAAATATTCTCTTTATTCATCCAAGGTAGCCCAGCTAAATACAAGAATGGAAATAGGTGGCTATATATTCCTATGCATCCGCCACCGCTTATGCCCTTACCTATGCAGTACACTGCTCATTTGCTCTTTCACATAGCTATGGGTAACTTTTTCTTTGTCTCTACACCATAGCAAAGGTATTGAGGAGTTCTACCTACTCAATCTCCCCTTCAACTTATTCTATTACTCATTCATTTGACAAATGTTCAACTGGTTTTGTTCTTTCCTCCCATTGCTCAAGTTTTGTCCTTTCCATTCCCTCATAGTCAAGGCCATTCCCATACTTTTAGGAAATGTGTATCAGTGATTTTTTAGACAGGAAAACACATCTGTATCTTATTGAAGTTCTTATGAAATTCATGGCACAAAAAGATAGGATATGCTTGTAACTCAGTAATGTGGACAAAAGTAATGTGCATGTTCAAATGCTGCAGTCATCTGAATGTGAAGGACTTGCTAAGAAACGTCACATTAGATGTAGGCCAGAGGATAGCAAGCCAGCAACAGGAACAGCCAGAGGAAAATCTACGTGCTGAATGAGTTGTGTATGAGAGAGAAACAGGAAACAGGATGAGGTTTTCAATTACGACAATGTGGTCTCTATTAAAAAGTTGAAATCTAGACACACAACTAGGAGTTAGCCAAAAAAAAAAAAAGGTTGAAATCATATAGACATTTTCTACTAAAACTAGAAATTAATAACAAAATTTAAAAAACTAAAAGTAAAATCTACCTGAAAATTCAGAAGTCTACATTAAATAACTCTTAGGTCCACAGGAAAATAAGATCTGAAACAGTATTTTTGTTTTTGTTTGTTTGTTTTTTGAGATGGAGTCTCCCTCTGTCACCCAGGCTGGAATGCAGTGGTGTGACCTCGGCTCACTCACTGCAGCCTCTACCTCCTGGGTTCAAGTGATTCTCCTGCCTCAGCCTCCCGAGTAGCTGGGATTACAGGTGTGTACCACCACACCTGGCTTTTTTTTTTTTTTTTTGTATTTTGTATTTTTAGTAGAGACAGGGTTTCACCATGTTGACCAGGCTGGCCTCAAACTCCTGACTGATCCTCCCGCCTCCGCCTCCCTAAGTGCTGGGATTACAGGCATGAGTCAGGGCACCTGGCTGTATTTTAGTTTTTTTGAAAGTAATGGGAGGCCGGGTGCGGTGGCTCACACCTGTAATCCCAGTACTTTAGGAGGCTAAGGCAGGAGGATTTCTTCAGCCCAGGAGTTTGAGACCAGTCAGGGCAACATGGCAAGACCTCACCTCTAAAAAAAATAAATTAAAAAATTAGCTGGGCGTGGTGGTGTGCTATAGTCCCAGCTACTTCGGAGACTAAGGTAGGAGAAGTGCTTGAGCCCAGGAGGTCAAGGCTGCAGTGAGCTCTGTCTATGCCACTGCACTCTAGGTTGGATGACAGAGCAAGACTCTCTTTCTTTAAAAATAATAATAATAATAATAAAGTCTACATTTTGAAAACTTTCATATAAGTATCTATAAAATATAACCATAGTGCTTATAAGAAAATGTAAAAATTAAAACACAGCAAAAGTGAAAAACATCATTAAAAGTCTCACTCAAAAAAAGAAAATAAAATTAAGCTGAAGCAAAGCAGAAGAAAAATATTAACCGATATAAAAGTAGAATCAGAATACAGAAATAGAAGTAATAAAGCATAAACAAAATTTTTTTTTTTTTTGAGATGGAGTTTTGCTCTTGTTGCCCAGGCTGGGGTGCAGTGGCCTGATCTTGGATCGCTGCAACTTCCACCTCCCGGTTCAAGCGATTCTCCTGCCTCAGTCTTCCGAGTAGCTGGGATTACAGGCACGTGCCGCCATGCCCAGCTAATTTTTTGTGTTATTAGTAGAGATGGGTTTCATCATGTTGGCCAGGCTGGTCAAAAACTCATCCTCAGGTGATCCACCCGTCTTGGCCTCCCAAAGTGCAGGGAATACAGGCGTGAGCCACTGTTCCTGGCCTCATAAACCAGTTTTTTAATCAACAAAATATAAACCATGGTTAAGATATTGAAAACAGCAAGAAAGTACAGACATAGAAATAAGAACAAAGTGAAAATGATCATGAATACAGAGGACAGACGACTATGCTAATAAATTTGAAAACATAGCTAAAATGGATAATTTATTGTTGTTTTTTTTTGTTTTTTGTTTTTTGGTTTTTGAACGGAGTCTCAGTCTGTCACCTAGGCTAGAGTTCAGTGGCGTGATCTCTGTTCACTGCAACCTCCACCTCTGCCCGCCGACCCCCACCCCGTCCCACTGCCTTCAAACAATTCTGCTGCCTCAGCCTCCCAAGTAGCTGCGATTACAAGCGCATGCCACCGCACCCGGCTAATTTTTGTATTTTTAGTAGAGACGGGGTTTCACCATCTTAGCCAGGCTGGTCTTGAACTCCTGACCTCATGATCTACCCACCTCAGCCTCCCAAAGTGCTGGGATTACAGGCATGAGCCACCGTGCCCAGCTTAAAATGTATAATTTTTTAGAAAAATATAATTTATCAAAACTGACCATGGAAGAGACAAATATTAATAAAATGTTTATACAGATCAATTCCCATAGAGCAAATAGAGAATGTGGTCAGACTTACCATCCCTTTTGTCAAAAATAAAGCTTTACAAAACTTACTTAAGCTTAAAGACAGGCTATCAAAATTCTTTTTCAACTAAGAAGTATCAGGACTTCCAAACTGTTTTCATAAAGTGATACTGAAATAAAGATCACTCACAAAAAGACAACTACACACCAATTTTCTAAACACTGAGGAAAAAATTCTAAATATCTAATAAAACAGCACACTGAAAGACCCAAGGAGTGTTCATTACAAGAATGTTTTAGGCTGGGCGCAGTGGCTCACACCTGTAATCCCAACACTTTGGGAGGCCAAGGTGGGTGGATCACGAGGTCAGGAGTTCGAGACCTGCCTGGCCAATATGGTGAAACCCTGTCTTTATTAAAAATACAAAAGTTAGCAGGGTGTGGTGGCGCACGCTTGTAGTCCCAGCTACCCGGAGCTACCTGGAAGAAGAATCGCTTGAACCCAGGAGGCAGAGGTTGCAGTGAGCCAAGATTGCGCCATTGCACTCCAGCCAGGGCAACAAAAGCAAAACTCCGTCCCAAAAAAAAAAAAAGAAGAAGAATGTTTAATGGTTCAATATGGGGAAATCTATTAAGACAATTCAACATATCAACACAGTGAAGGAGAAAAAAAAAATCACACAATCAATTCCATAGATGCTGAAAAGGTAACTAAAAAAAGACCAGAACTGTTCCTGAATTTGTTTTCCCAAGAAACAGCGTCTCCCTCTGTCACCCAGGCTGGAGTGCAGCAGTGCAATTACAGCTCACTGCCGCCTCTAACTCGTGGGCTCAAGCAATCCTCCTGCCTCATGTTCCTGATTTTTTTAAAAAAGCTCAATGAAACAGTAATGATACTTCCCTAAATGATAAAGTATATATTATCTTACCAAAAAGGCAGTTTGCCTAACATTACCACTACTATTAATGATGTAGTATTAGAGTTATTAGTCAACACAATTTAAAAATCAGGAAAAAAAATCAGAGGTAGAAGAATTACAGGTAAAACTCTATTTCCAAAGGATATGCCTGTCTAATTGGAAAACTCAAAGGTTTAAATATTATAAATGGCAACAAAATTTAGAAAGAAAATTTATAAAGTCAAAAATTTGATTTTATATCAAAATCAAAATACAAACAACAATAACCTTTGAATATACATTTAACAATAAAATATGAAGGGAAAGATCTCATTCATAATACTTACAAAAATTTAAAATACATGGATAACCTTTATGAGGAAAACTTTGAAACACTCACGAAGTATTTAGCATTGGGTATATTGAAGAAATCATACACCAAATCACAAGGAAGAGATTCCTGCACAGAAGCTAAGGGTGTCCCACCAAGGGTGGTCATATTAAGAAGTTGCTGAGCAAGAAGCAGGTATGGAGACAGTGGCAAAACACAGGGTAA